CCTGTCTCTTTCATTTAAGAGATCTCTCGTACCTCTTCTGTCTGTCTCAAGTGAGAGATCTCTCACGCCTCTCCTGTCTCTCTCTCTCTCACTCAAGTGAGAGATCTCTCACACCTTTCCTCTCTCTCACACACACAAGTGCAGTACGTGATGGAGGGAAAGCGCTATTGCATTAACGATATTGATATTGTTAATATAAGTACTGGCAACATACGCGAAAATTAACGAAAATATAATAATATTTTCCTACAATTGTTTTGCCTCTGGCAGGCGTGTACCTGCGTATCCAGCTTCACCTAGCACTGTGTACCTTCCCGCAACCTCTCTATCTTCCATTCTACGCATTCGAGCAACCCATGTCTATCATCCAACAATCTGTTCCTTTCTTTTCACCGACTGTCCTCCATCACCATCGTTTCTCAGTGCCCTAATTACTATCCCTACCTTCTCGCATTCCCTGCATTTCCCTTCTTTCACTACCCTCCACTGGTCCTTACTCTCTACTGTCCCCTACTCTCCACCGTCCCCAACTCTCCACTGTCCCCTACTCTTCACGTCCCTTTGTCGTTGGGGTTCGTGAGGATATGTTGGAGGAATAAGTACACACGTTGGATGTCTTGGAGGCGTATAATTAAAGGTAGTCTTGAGGAGTAGCCCAGGCCTGCCTTCGAGTCTAAGCCTAACTAGCCTTCAACTGAAGATGAACGCTGTGGCCTACAGCTCACTGTGATGGGGTCTCGTGACGTCATGGCTAGCAAGAGAGAGCATATCTATAAGGTAGATGGGATTATCTAAGTATACTTCACAGTGGTACACATTAACACTTCTGACATCTCGGTGATGCTAAAGTATGGCGTCCCAACATACAGCTAACTTATAGGCACTGTAGATTGTAGGTATTAAGGCTCTGGCTTGATTCTACACAATATCAATATACACAACAGTTAAACATAAGAAACTATACACAAGGATGATAAATTATTGTAATGCATTACAAATTATATCACACTTCATGGTAATTAATAGAATCAATGATGGTATAGAACAACAAAGAGAGTGAGATAGAAACAGAGAAGATTGATTGATCTATATTCATGTGATCTACAGATTCTGAGGAAATATATTTACAAAAAGGAAATTGAACATTAAAATGGTATAAAATACCGACAGGTTGTTAGGTAAGACACATATGCAACAGTTAGGTATCTTTATTTCGAAACGTTTCGCCTACACAATATTGTTTCATACTATGGAACAATGCTCTTTTCCAGACTGAGGGACTGACAACCTCAAAACTTTAAGGGTGATGGACTGATTACATCGTCTTCAAGTATCTTCTGCTTCTATCAACTTTTCTGTACTCGACTGAAGAAGCCTACTGTGTAGGCGAAACGTTTCGAAATAAAGATACCTAACTGTTGCATATGTGTCTTACCTAACAAAAAGGAAATTGTTTAACAGAAAAGGCAGACTTGGTTCACACAAGTCTTTTACTGTTAATTCTCAGAATTAGGAGAGAACATGAACACATAAAAAAAATTTTGAACATCATTAAGTTTACATAGCAGACACACAGTGGAAATACTCTTTAAACTATATTATCTATCTATAGGAATTATTTACATTTAACCCCAACTCTGCTAGGGGAGGGTCAAACTCTGTTGCAATGGCTAACACATGCTGTGGTTGAGGATCTAAACTGGTACTTACAACTGAAACTTGGGGATTCCTCATTACTTGTTGTGTATGTAAGGAATAACGACAATCAGGTTGTTTGTCTGAGTGGCTGTTAGAAGTAGATGGTACTAAGTCAGGAGGATTGTCAGAGTTTGTTACATTTGACTGGATGTCAGGAACCTCATCATCATTGTATTCTAACTTCATATGATCTAAATGCAATTCTTTATACTGATCAGTACTGATTTCTTTAACTTTATACTTATTGTCACTGACATGTTCGACTACTCGATATGAACCAACAAACTTTTGATCGAGCTTAGGCATTGCCGATGTTTTATTAAAAATTAGTCAGTATAACTCTCTAACCTACTTTAATTTTGGTTGGTTTTGTACGAGTATTGTAAATTCTGCTGTTGATGTATGAAGTGTTTCTCGGATTCTTCTGAAGACACCTTGAGCTAAAATGGTACGAGTTTCTATGAAATCATCAGGATTGTAATTTGGCTTCGGATCAGAAAATAACTCACATGGTAAACGCTTATTTACACCATGGAGTGTCATCTATTGTAAGCAGAATTTATTGCACACTGAACTTCAGGTATAACTTCATCCCAGGTTGCACTATTGGGAATAATAGTGCCTCTCAACACATCGAATACTTTCTTATTAGTTCTTTCCGCTGGACCATTACTGGCAGGATGGTGAGAAACAATGGTCGATTTAGATATCTTGTACATAGTACACAACTTTTAAAGAATCTCATTACAGAATTCACCTCCATTATCTGTTATTAGGGACTTAGCAGTTGTAAGCCTGCAGATTATACGTTTCTTAAATGCTTTAGCTACTGTCTCGGCAGTCTTATCTGCTGCAGGAACTAACTCACAATATCTGATGAAATGATCTACCGTAACACACAGATGTTTGTTGCCCTGGAGGGAAATTTGGAAATTAGTTAACAAATCTAGCGCAACTCTTTCCCAAGGTTCGTTAGTAGTTGGATACACCTGGATTGAATTAGGACCACTAATATTACCATTATGCTGCATACAGACACTACATTTCTTAAAATACTCGGAAATATCAGTTGCCATACGAGGCCAAAAGTATTTCAATCTGGCTTGATTTACAGAATGATCCATACAAGGGTGTGCAAACCTGGTATATCGTGAACTAGCTGTAAGGCTACATTCACTAGTGACTGTGGAATTACTAGCTGGTATACCCTTCTGCTAGGAGTACCCAGCTCGGCTGTGCGATACAGTAACTCTTGGTTCGTGACAATCACTGATTGGTGCTGGTGGCTTCACAGTTTGAGTTTGATCTTCCTGTAGCAGGAATCGAATCACACCAGACCACATGGGATCTGTTCTTTGAGTATTCTTTATGTCCTCAGCACTAAATGGAGGATCTGCTATTACTAATATGTCGCGATAAAGCATCTGTGAAAACATTAGACTTGCCAGACAAGTGTTCAAAGGTTGGGTGGAACTCTTGGATAGTCAAAGACCATCTGGAGAATCTCCCAGTTGGTTGTTTATTCTGGAATAAAGGTATCAGTGGACCACGATCTGTCAAGACATGAACAGGGTACTGGTAAATAATGTCAGGGAAGTGCTTTAAAGACCATACTGTTGCGAAGGCTTCTTGCTCAGTTGCTGTATAATTGCGTTCAGCCTTTGTAAGGACACGACTAGCAAATGCAACTGCGTTGTACTTGTTATCGGTCTTCTGAGCTAGGACGACACCTATGCCAATACAACTATCATCAGTTGTTAGATAGAAAAGCTTAACAAAATCTGGGAATTTCAAAATAGGAACAGAAGTTAGCTTTTTTTTTGAGAATTTGGAATGCTCTTTCTTGACGGAAGGTCCAAACAAAAGGAGCATCTTTCTTAAGCAACTCAGAGGAGCTGTTATAGAAGACAAATTAGCAATCTTCTATAAAAACTTGCAAAGCCCACCAAGGATCTTACAACATCAGAAGTTTTGGGAGATGGAAAATTTTTGAAGAGCAGTTAGTTTGGTCAGTCGTAACCTTCTAGGAGTGACTACGTGACGAAGAAACTTGATTTTTGATCTGAAAAACTGACATTTAGACAGTTTGATCTTTAAATTGGCTTCTTCAAGCTTACCAAGTACCAAATCAAGTCTTTCCAGACGTGTCTCCAAGTCTTCGGACATGACAATTAAATCATCTAAGTACACCCTACATTCAAGATGCCCTACTCTCCACTGCCCCCTACTCTCCACTGTCCCCTACTCTCCACTGTCCCCTACTCTCCACTGTCCCCTACTCTCCACTGTCCCCTACTCTCCACTGTCCCCTACTCTCCACTGTCCCCTACTCTCCACTGCCCCTACTCTCCACTGTCCCCTACTCTCCACTGCACCCTACTCTCCACTGCCCCCTACTCTCCACTGCCCCCTACTCTCCACTGCACCCTACTCTCCACTGCACCCTACTCTCCACTGCCCCCTACTCTCCACTGCACCCTACTCTCCACTGCCCCCTACTCTCCACTGCATCTTATTCTCCACTGCACCCTACTCTCCACTGCACCCTACTCTCCACTGCCCCCTACTCTCCACTGCACCCTACTCTCCACTGCCCCCTACTCTCCACTGCACCTTATTCTCCACTGCACCCTACTCTCCACTGTCCCCTACTCTCCACTGTCCCCTACTCTCCACTGTTCCCTACTCTCCACTGTTCCCTACTCTCCACTGCACCTTATTCTCCACTGCACCCTACTCTCCACTGTCCCCTACTCTCCACTGTTCCCTACTCTCCACTGCACCCTACTCTCCACTGCACCCTACTCTCCACTGTTCCCTACTCTCCACTGCACCCTACTCTCCACTGTCCCCTACTCTCCACTGCACCTTATTCTCCACTGCACCCTACTCTCCACTGTCCCCTACTCTCTACTGTCCCCTACTCTCCACTGTCCCCTACTCTCCACTGTACCCTACTCTCCACTGCCCCCTACTCTCCACTGTCCCCTACTCTCCACTGTCCCCTACTCTCCACTGCCCCCTACTCTCCACTGTCCCCTACTCTCCGTCTTCCTCTACTCTCCACTGTCTCCTACTCTCCGTCTTCCCATACTCCCCACTGTCACCTACTCTCCGTCTTCCCATACTCCCCACTGTCACCTACTCTCCACCTTCCTCTACTCTCCACCTGCCCCTTCTCTGCATCTTCCCCTTCTCTTCCCACCCCCTGTAATGAGCACTGCTTCCCCTCCACCCACCTGGTGGAGCATGCTTGGTATAAGGCTGCAGGAGGTGAGTTTCGTTGCAGTTGGTTGGCTGGGACCATCTTATCAACATGAGGGTGGTAAGTACTCTTCCTGCATGATTGTGTTTTCTTAAGAGGTGTCAAGTCTGGTGAACGTCAGCAATACAAAAGTTCAGTAATACGCTAAAAGTTTCTTAGTGTTATTGCATTAATGAGACATTCGTGATATTTGTATTTATCTGACTTGATTGACTGAGGTCCCCTAAGTGACTACATGTTCGTGATGAGCATCATTAACACACACACACACACACACACACACACACACACTTACTAACGGGGCCAGGAGCTGTGAATCGATCCCTGCAACCACATGTAGGTGAGTATAAACTCATACACACAAAGTCCTCTGCTCCTCCTGATTTTTTCTTAATTATCACTGGTCATTCCTTCCTTTTCTTCACTTTCTCCAGAACCTCCTCCAACTTTGTGCTTCCCTCCATCACTCTTATGGTTTTTACTTCAGCACTCACTCTTCCTTTTTTTCCATTACAAGCTTTCATTTCCTTGCTTTTTTTTATACTTTTACAAATGTTCCCACAAGGATGCACTGTACCTCGTACAGTGCTACACTATAACTAAGACATGCTACACGCACAGAATATCTCCTACGGAGAGAAATTAACAATATCTACATCAGCTGAAGATTATAATGAACTTAAACATGTGAATGTGGGGGAAACAACAAGAAAATAATGTGAGAAATGATGCAAGGGAAATCTATACATAGGGGAATAGTGAGTATCAGTAATTAGATTTAACAATAGCTTGTTAGAAGAGTAAAATAAACACATAATAGCAAAGAAATTTACATATTTAACTGGCGGACACCATGTAAAAAGGGCAAAAAAAAAAAAAAAAAAAAGCCAGAGACGAAAGTTTGTAATTGAAAAAAAAGAACAGCCATTTCTGAAGAAAGAGCCACGAGACTGACAGAGGGAAGCACAGAGTTGAGGGAAGCTCTGGTAAAAATGAAGAAAAGGAAGGAATGGGCAGTGATAATGAAAGGAAAAGCAGGAGGACCAAAGGAGTCAGGACGAGACAACAAAGAAAAGGTTTTCAGAAATGCTCGCAGTAGACACACGGAGGAAAAAGCAAGACGAAGAAATAAAGTCACTGATTTTTTTTTTTTGGGATGGTGGTGATAAAACAGAAAGGCAGAGATTCGAGGAGAAAGAATATCACAGCGATCATTGACGGTACAGGAGGAGAGAAGGAAGTACAGCACAAGAGAAAATTTTCAAAGAATTATGAAGTGCTTCTGAAAGAAATGACGCCGAACAAAACTAACCAAGAGCAGCTCTAAACAAAAGAGAATCTTAAGCTGGAGGACTTCCTCCAGGAGTACATAAAGCTATTGACATCGTGTTATTACGAAATCGTAATAACACGATTGCTTGAAGTTTTAGAACTTACTCGCCATGGGTTCAAACCCTACCCATTCTGTGGTTTATATTGAAATGTATCCTTGGGCTGGGAAAGCACAAAAATTTAGAGGGAACTATTGAGTAAAGTGGTAAAATATCGTTGATCACAGGAAAGAGAATTAAGAGCGTGGCAGGAGAAGGGATCACTAACCTTCTGAAATCTCTCAAAGCTTATCAAATGCCCATCGCTCTGCAGGCCTAATTCTAGACCCATTTACTTCTTCCCCTAACAGAGCAGTAATTCAAAACAATCCACTTTCTTCTCCCTCTTCCCTATCGTGCATCAACCCCCTCCATTTTAACTCTGCAAGCACCAACCCTAGCCTCACTCCTTCCTTGCCAAAGTATGGACAAGGAGAACACCACGAGCTACAGCATTACTGACTGAAGAATCACTCAGTCTAAGGTACACTAATTCTGAAGAATTATCAGCCAAGAGTAATGAACTGGAAGAATGAATAATAGAGGTAGCGCCAGATATCATTGCTTAGAACTAGTGACAGAGGCAACACCAGATATCGTAGCTCTTAGAAAGACGAAACTAAGTTAAATGACAGAATGCAAAATTTCTTGCAGGATAATAAAATAAGTAATGAAGTAAGAAAGAGGGAACAGGGTAGAGGATGGAATGACAATGCTAATCAGAAATCATTGGAATTTCGAAGACAAGTGAGTGATAAAGAATACTGAGTCATATACTATATAATGGGAACAATGAAAACTAGGGGACCCAAAGTAGTAGTAGTAGTAGTAGTAGCACCAGCGATTTCCGACACGCCACCGAACAGTAAGAGACCAAAACAGGAAAGTGCACTTGAAAAGAAACAACCAACAGCTGACACCCCAACAGAAGCAGCGAGAAGTCGCCACATGACCTCAGTTAACTTACTAACCAAAGGTAGGGAGAACTGGGACCCATACTGCGACCAGAAACACAGAGAACTAGGATAATTGAGGACTACGGTGATGGTGGACTAAGGTGATGAGTGATTAGGATGATGGAGAACTAAGATGATGGAGAACTAAGCTGGTGGAGGTGGTGACTGAAAACTTTGCATTAGCTTGTCTGGAACTCAATAAAGGGTAGAAGGGAGGGAATGACCCAGCAAATAGGTACCTGGGTGTTAGTCGACTGGTGTGGGTCGCATCCTGGGGGACAAGATTAAGGACCCCAATGGAAATAAGTTAGACAGTCCTCGATGACGCACTGACTTTCTTGGGTTATACTGGGTGGCTAACCCTCCGGGGTTAAAAATCCGAACGAAATCTTATCTTATCTTATCTTAAGACTGGATCTTTGAGCCATCATGAGTACATCTGATGTAGGCAGAGTATGAGAGGCCTCTGCATGCTCGTTACCATGCACTAAAACTTTGAATGAATTGCGGAAATAAATATAGAGAGGAGAATATCAGGTTGGGGGACATGTGGAACAAAATTTCCGAGGAGTAAATTATGCAAAGATGAGATAATTCCCGAATGAGGTTCACTGAGAAAATGAACAACTGTAAGAACAACATCAGTGATGATGGAGTTCCCAGTGAGGAAGTGCTGAGAAGAACCTCATACCTAAGGAAGAAGAGGCAACAGGAAGGCAAAAGAGAGAGACAGAGAAAAAAAATATATAAGATCATGGAAAAATATAAAATGAAGAGAAGAAAACAGGAAAGTAAGCAAAGAAACCAGAAATGAATATGCAATAAGAGCAGACTCATATGCAACATCGAGCAAAAAAACGAAGCACCAATTTGAAAATAACAGCAATAGCAAAATCAGAACCAAAGCTGCTACACAGCTACAGCTTTAACAAGAGGTACGATAAAGCTTTTGGAGCAGGGAGAGAGTGGACCTAGTAGCGACTAGCTAAGAGGCAGGACCAGGAGCTGTGAGTCGACCCCTGCAACCACACACAGGTGAGTTCACACCCACACTCCGTCCCCTACACACGCACACGCACACACACACACACACACACAGGGGAGACATGATAACGACATATAAAATACTGCGTGGAATAGACAAGGTGGACAAAGACAGGATGTTCCAGGGAGGGGACACAGAAACAAGAGGCCACAATTGGAAGTTGAAGACACAAATGAGTCAGAGAGATATTAGGAAGTATTTCTTCAGTCATAGAGTTGTAAGGCAGTGGAATAGCCTAGAAAATGACGTAGTGGAGGCAGGAACCATACACAGTTTTAAGACGAGGTTTGATAAAGCTCATGGAGCGGGGAGAGAGAGGGCCTAGTAGCAACCGGTGAAGAGGCGGGGCCAGGAGCTAGGACTCGACCCCTGCAACCACAAATAGGTGAGTAAATAGGTGAGTACACACACACACAAGAAGACGGGTGCAGAAATAGTAATAATAGGCGAGGGGACTGAAGGAAGAGACGGAGAAATGAACAACTTGTGGAAATATTTTTAGTCAGCCAGGAGGTACAGATGATAAGGGAACAACAAAGGAACTGCTCAAACAGACAAATAAATATGAAGATAAAGGAACTGGGAAGAGGAAAGCGAGAGAAGTAGCTGATTATCCATGGGCTTCAGACGGCTGAAGGAAGAGTTCATGATGAAATATGGTAGGTGGAGGAAAAGCAGATTCAAAGTGTCATAACCCTAACTGGTTAAGAGGCTGAAATGACCCAGGTGGCAAATTTTCGGAGCCTTGGAATGTACTCGTGGTAAAAAAATACATCGAGTTGAAGTGACCTTCAGAAGAGTAATGGCGAGACAAGATCATGCATCAGAAACCACAGTTAATGGAGAGAAAAAAAAGTGCCAGAGAGTGTACCTCGACTGGGGCAGAACAAGGCAGGAGCAGCAACAACTGAGAGAGTCCAAGAATGCCAGAGGCAGGAAGGAGAGACAGGGCATACAGTGACGGTCACTTAAGCTCAATCTCCAGAGGAACATCAAGCACACCCACACACAGACAACCCTCAACCCTAGCCTCTCGCTCCCACCCAAGCACAATAGCTCAATACGATCCATATTCCATCCCTTTCCCCACACTCACTGTTCCCATCCTCACAGCACAAGTACCGTTCTCATAACTGCCTCATCCCAAACCCCCCCATCATCCCATGCCTCTCTTCACCCCCAACCCTATTCATTCCTATCTACATCCAGGATGTTGAGGTGCTCATTAGAAAACAAGTAAAATTTTAAGATGAAAAGAATGGACAAAGGGGAAACAGATGACTACGTAGTAAACAGACTGAAGACTGGGGGTCCTAAGGAGGTTATTACAGTAATGTACAACCCCCCCCCCCCATTAAATAGCAAGAGATCAAGACAAGAATATGATGAAACAAACAGAGCAATGGTGGATACATTAGTACACACACACACACACACATACACACATCGGGGCCAGGAGCTGTGAATCGACCCCTGCAACCCCAATTAGGTGAGTACACACACTCAGTTTAAGCATGTAAAGAAATTGGAGAAAGTATGGAGGTTTGCAACGAGACTAGTCCTGGAGGTAAAGGGTATATTTTATGAGGAGAGGTTAAGTGAACTCAACCTGATGACACTAGTGGAAGGGAAGACTAGAGGTGATATAACAAGGTACAAAATGCTTATAGGAATTGATAAGGTGGATAGGGACATACTGGATGTTAGACGAAAAACAGAAACACGAGGACACAGCTGGAAGTTAAACACTGCCGAGTCACAGCGATGTTTACAACTATTTCTTCAGTGTTAGAGTAATCAGGAAGTGAAACGACCTGGCGACTGGAATGGTAGAGGCATAATCCGTGTCTTAGTTATCGAACTGGTATGATATGGCTCTCGAAGCCGGGAGTGAATCTAGTAGCGACCAGCAAAGAGGCGGGCAAAAGAGCTGAGACTCGATCCCTGCTATCTAATGGAAATGAGTACACTCACACATACACTCTCTCTTATCCTGCAAAATAATGTGTTAAGAAAGTTTTTGTTTTTTTCACAGATACTGTTTGTGGTGACAGTGTGGCTGATGCTGCTGGGGGTTGCCCTGGCCACACCTGGCCCTGTGGCACTGCCTGGCCCTGTGGCACTGCCTAACCCTATAGCACTACCTGATCCTGTGGCACTGCCTGATCCTGAACCACACCCTGTGGCACTGCCTGACCCTGTGGCACTGCCTTACCCTGCACCTTTCCCATCGCCAGTACCTTTACCGGACCCCTCACCTGATCCTCAAAGTGGTCGTTCTGGTGGTGGTGGTCGTAATCGTTCTGGTGGTGGTGGTCGTAATCGTTCTGGTGGTAGTCGTCGGGGTAGTGGCAGTAACAAAGCTAGCAGTGGCAGTAGCAAAAGTGGCAATGGTGGCAATAACAAACGTGGCAGCAACAAAGGTGGAAATGGTGACAGTAGCAAAGATGATTCTGCTGATAGTGATGGTCTTAATGGGTACCGAGGCTATGGTGGGTACAGAGGCTATGGTGGGTATAGGGGCTTTGGCATATATGCTCCTTGTCCATACTATAGTTACCATGGTTACTTCTTTTTCTGCCCACTGTTATAATGACAGAACAGTAAAGTGTTGACGAGCCAGGAAATTCTCCATACATCATTGTCCTCGAGCTGAAGAACCAACATATAACCACTTCCTTCCTCTTATCACATTTTCTGGTGTGCTAAAAAGTCTTGTTTAAGTATTGGTGACCGAAGTTAATAAAACTTTCATTCCCTAATGGACGTGATGTTTATCTTAGTCCTAAACACTACAAATTTTCTGAGGAAAAGTTTCTAATCCTTGCAGTATGCAAATATCGGTATTTTATATTTTAGAGGGAGTATTTCAACAGTCACAGTTCAGCATAGATCATGAACTCTCAGCTATGACGTAAACATAGTTTATCAACAGCAAAAGTATTTTTTTATCTAATCTATTAAATCGATTAGTTACATTCCAAAATTATAACGAATTACCACCTTCCTTACCATGTCTGGTCTTTTTTTTTTTTTGGTTGATATTAAATTTCACAAAATCCGGAAAAATATCATATTTCCACTGCCATGTTAATACATGTATCAGGATTAGGATGAATTCCTGCATTCATTCCTGTAGGACTAACTCCTGTAGGACTCTCCAATATCCATTCTGGTGTCTAGCTTCTTACCCCACATTGTAGCAGCGGCCAGCAGATTTACATAAATACAACTTCATAACCAATGTGTGTGTGTGTGTGTGTGTGTGTGTGTAAATAAACAGAAGAATGGTTGGGGACTCGAACAGTGGTCCTGGCATGTATCGAATCTAGCTCTGTGCCACAGGGTTATATATATATATATATATATATATATATATATATATATATATATATATATATATATATATATATATATATATAATATTGTGACAACGAACGAGTGGTATTGATCAACAACAACACTGCACTAGCCAAGGACTCGAACCCATGCTGCTTTGGCCTGTCTCATGGTGGGCGAAAACACATGACGCCCTAATCAGGATCGTATGGTCCAGTGGATTAGGGCTTCATGTGTTCTCGCCCACCATGAGACAGGCCAAAGCAGCATGGGTTCGAGTCATTGAATAGTGCAGTGTTGCTATTGATATATATTGATATATATATATATATATATATATATATATATATATATATATATATATATATATATATATATATATTAAATGATCAGTTATGGAAGGAGAAAAGAGAATATGAATGTGTAAATTCAAGAATTATGTGGATTAAAGTAAAGGTTGGATGCGAGAAAGTGGGTCATAATAAGCGTGTATGCACCTGGAGAAGAGAGGAATGCAGAGGAGAGAGAGAGATTTTGGGAGATGTTAAGTGAATGTATAGGAGCCTTTGAACCAAGTGAGAGAGTAATTGTGGTAGGGGACTTGAATGCTAAAGTAGGAGAAACTTTTAGAGAGGGTGTGGTAGGTAAGTTTGGGGTGCCAGGTGTAAATGATAATGGGAGCCCTTTGATTGAACTTTGTATAGAAAGGGGTTTAGTTATAGGTAATACATATTTAAGAAAAAGAGGATAAATAAGTATACACGATATGATGTAGGGCGAAATGACAGTAGTTTGTTGGATTATGTATTGGTAGATAAAAGACTGTTGAGTAGACTTCAGGATGTACATGTTTATAGAGGGGCCACAGATATATCAGATCACTTTCTAGTTGTAGCTACACTGAGAGTAAAAGGTAAGATGGGATACAAGGAGAATAGAAGCATCAGGGAAGAGAGAGGTGAAGGTTTATAAACTAAAAGAGGAGGCAGTTAGGGTAAGATATAAACAGCTATTGGAGGATAGATGGGCTAATGAGAGCATAGGCAATGGGGTCGAAGAGGTATGGGGTAGGTTTAAAAATGTAGTGTTAGAGTGTTCAGCAGAAGTTTGTGGTTACAGGAAAGTGGGTGCAGGAGGGAAGAGGAGCGATTGGTGGAATGATGATGTAAAGAGAGTAGTAAGGGAGAAAAAGTTAGCATATGAGAAGTTTTTACAAAGTAGAAGTGATGCAAGGAGGGAAGAGTATATGGAGAAAAAGAGAGAAGTTAAGAGAGTGGTGAAGCAATGTAAAAAGAGAGCAAATGAGAGAGTGGGTGAGATGTTATCAACAAATTTTGTTGAAAATAAGAAAAAGTTTTGGAGTGAGATTAACAAGTTAAGAAAGCCTAGAGAACAAATGGATTTGTCAGTTAAAAATAGGAGAGGAGAGTTATTAAATGGAGAGTTAGAGGTATTGGGAAGATGGAGGGAAAATTTTGAGGAATTGTTAAATGTTGATGAAGATAGGGAAGCTGTGATTTCGTGTATAGGGCAAGGAGGAATAACATCTTGTAGGAGTGAGGAAGAGCCAGTTGTGAGTGTGGGGGAAGTTCGTGAGGCAGTAGGTAAAATGAAAGGGGGCAAGGCAGCCGGGATTGATGGGATAAAGATAGAAATGTTAAAAGCAGGTGGGGATATAGTTTTGGAGTGGTTGATGCAATTATTTAATAAATGTATGGAAGAGGGTAAGGTACCTAGGGATTGGCAGAGAGCATGCATAGTTCCTTTGTATAAAGGCAAAGGGGATAAAAGAGAGTGCAAAAATTATAGGGGGATAAGTCTGTTGAGTGTACCTGGTAAAGTGTATGGTAGAGTTATAATTGAAAGAATTAAGAGTAAGACGGAGAATAGGATAGCAGATGAACAAGGAGGCTTTAGGAAAGGTAGGGGGTGTGTGGACCAGGTGTTTACAGTGAAACATATAAGTGAACAGTATTTAGATAAGGCTAAAGAGGTCTTTGTGGCATTTATGGATTTGGAAAAGGCGTATGACAGGGTGGATAGGGGGGCAATGTGGCAGATGTTGCAAGTGTATGGTGTAGGAGGTAGGTTACTGAAAGCAGTGAAGAGTTTTTACGAGGATAGTGAGGCTCAAGTTAGAGTATGTAGGAAAGAGGGAAATTTTTTCCCAGTAAAAGTAGGCCTTAGACAAGGATGTGTGATGTCACCGTGGTTGTTTAATATATTTATAGATGGGGTTGTAAGAGAAGTAAATGCGAGGGTCTTGGCAAGAGGCGTGGAGTTAAAAGATAAAGAATCACACACAAAGTGGGAGTTGTCACAGCTGCTCTTTGCTGATGACACTGTGCTCTTGGGAGATTCTGAAGAGAAGTTGCAGAGATTGGTGGATGAATTTGGTAGGGTGTGCAAAAGAAAATTAAAGGTGAATACAGGAAAGAGTAAGGTTATGAGGATAACAAAAAGATTAGGTGATGAAAGATTGAATATCAGATTGGAGGGAGAGAGTATGGAGGAGGTGAACGTATTCAGATATTTGGGAGTGGACGTGTCAGCGGATGGGTCTATGAAAGATGAGGTGAATCATAGAATTGATGAGGGAAAAAGAGTGAGTGGTGCACTTAGGAGTCTGTGGAGACAAAGAACTTTGTCCTTGGAGGCAAAGAGGGGAATGTATGAGAGTATAGTTTTACCAACGCTCTTATATGGGTGTGAAGCGTGGGTGATGAATGTTGCAGCGAGGAGAAGGCTGGAGGCAGTGGAGATGTCGTGTCTGAGGGCAATGTGTGGTGTGAATATAATGCAGAGAATTCGTAGTTTGGAAGTTAGGAGGAGGTGCGGGATTACCAAAACTGTTGTCCAGAGGGCTGAGGAAGGGTTGTTGAGGTGGTTCGGACATGTAGAGAGAATGGAGCGAAACAGAATGACTTCAAGAGTGTATCAGTCTGTAGTGGAAGGAAGGCGGGGTAGGGGTCGGCCTAGGAAGGGTTGGAGGGAGGGGGTAAAGGAGGTTTTGTGTGCGAGGGGCTTGGACTTCCAGCAGGCATGCGTGAGCGTGTTTGATAGGAGTGAATGGAGACAAATGGTTTTTAATACTTGACGTGCTGTTGGAGTGTGAGCAAAGTAACATTTATGAAGGGATTCAGGGAAACCGGCAGGCCGGACTTGAGTCCTGGAGATGGGAAGTACAGTGCCTGCACTCTGAAGGAGGGGTGTTAATGTTGCAGTTTAAAAACTGTAGTGTAAAGCACCCTTCTGGCAAGACAGTGATGGAGTGAATGATGGTGAAAGTTTTTCTTTTTCGGGCCACCCTGCCTTGGTGGGAATCGGCCAGTGTGATAATAAAAAAAATATATATATATATGTCGTGCCGAATATGTAAAACTGGTCAATTAGCAAGAATTCATTTAAAATTAAGTCCTTTCCAAAATTTTCTCTTATACGTTTAAAGATATATTTTTTTCATTAATGTTAATGTCATTTTTTTTAATTTTGCACCAAAAGAAACTTAGAAAACTTACCTAACCTTGTTATAACAAGAGCAATTTATTTTAGCCTAACCCAACAAAATATATTTTAAATTTGTTTACAGTAATTTAATGCTAAACAAACACAATGAAATATATTTTTTTTCCTTAGGTTCAGAATGATTTTGGCGAAATTATTGCATACACAAATTTTTGCTTGTCCTATATGGCAAGATGAGCGTTGCTATTTAAGCCAAGATCGCAAGTTCTGCCTATTCGGCACGACATGTATATATATATATATATATATATATATATATATATATATGATGCAAAACAACCACGGGGGGAGTAGAATGATAGCTCTAGACCTTTCGTGTTGCAATCAACACATCATCAGGAGCTTGCAAAATTGCAGAAAAGAGGAGCGTTTCCAAGCGAATACGTTCCCAGGGGTCAGCGTTCACTCCAGTGAACGCTGACCCCTGGGAACGTATAACAGTCACCACAACACATGACAGTCACCACAACACATGACAGTCACCACTACACATAAGTCACCACTACATACAACGGTCACCACTACTACACAGAACACAAGAACTACGATATATTTTTAACAAGAAAATAAAAAAGTATAGAAGGAAAAAATGTATAGGCAGGAGGAAAACATGATAGTTTGGGACAGGGAAAAAGAGGTCGAAAAAAAAATAATGAACGATTATCGCACTGAACGAGAAATTCTTTATATAAAAAAATCGAAAAAAAAAAAAAAAAAGAGTTGACTGGAGCGTTTATTGATAGAGAGGTTCATGCCATACTTGGTTATCTGAAGGAGCGAAGTGAGAAAAGACGCTTAGCGAGGCAAGAAATAAACATCACAAAATGGAAGTTATGGGGGGAGTTGCATGAACATTACCTGGGAACAAGATGTACAAGCACTGTTGAACATCGCGATGTTCAACATGATGAAGAACGAGAAGGGAAAGAAACCGCTCGTCGAGAAATGGAACGTGAAAAGGAACGAGAGAAGAAGGAAGCCGCTCGTTGAGAAAT